GATCACAAGCATGGGCTGGATCCTGAGGCTGAATCCCAAAGCCTTCTTGGCACACCTCTAGCTTGGGTTTCTTGCAGTCACTCAGCCCTGCTGGGGAGGGCGTCTGCAGGATGACTGAGGGCCAGCTGACCCAGTATGCAGACAGATGCAGAGCAGCTGCTTTGCCAGAGCTCACTCACATCCAGAGGCCCAGCAACACCTACCATTAGCTCCCTGGAGCTGCATCAGGAGGCTGTGCTGGAGAAATGTCTGGTTGCACTCAGATGTATTCATTATGATGCCTTCTACAGATTTTTGCTATCACTGTTCTGTGAGGTTTTTGCTTCCTTTCCCACCTGCTACCCCAGGGTGAACCCTCTCACCCAGGTTCCAAGACCAAGGTGTGCAGTGAGGCATATCTGAGCACCTGACTGCAGTGAGGTTGCCTGATAGAAGACCAAGCCACAGAGAAGACAGATAAAAAGGGTGGAAAGAGGGTGGCCATCACCGACTACTGTCAGGGGCATATGAACCAGAGCAACTCCATCTTAAACAGGAGCTGGGTAAAACGAGGCTGAAACCTACTAGGCTGTATTCTCAGATGGGTAAGGCATTCTTTTTTTTTTTTTTTTTGAGATGGAATTTCGCTCTGTCCCCCAGGACGGAGTACAGTGGTGTGACCTCAGCTCACTGCAACCTCTGCCTCCCAGGTTCAAGCGATTCTCCTCCCTCAGCCTCCTGAGTAACTGGGATTACAGGCACGCGCCACTATGCCCAGCTAATTTTTGTATTTTCAGTAGAGATGGGTTTCACCATGTTGGTCAGGCTGGTCTCAGACTCCTGACCTCGTGATCCACCCGGCTTGGCCTCCCGAAGTGTGGGCAGGTGTGAGCCACTGCATCTGGCCCAGGTAAGGCATTCCAAGTCACAGGACGAGATAGGAGGTCAGCACAAAATACAGGTCACAAAGACCTCCTGATAAAACAGGTTACAGTAGAGGAGCCGGCCAAAAACCCCACTAAAACCAAAATGGCCACAAGAGTGAGCTCTGGTTGTCCTCATTGCTACACTCCCACCAGCGCACAACAGTTTACAAATGCCATGGCAACATCAGGAAGTTACCCTATATGGTCTAAAAAGGGGAAGCACGAATAATCCACACCTTGTTTAGCATATCATCAAGAAATAACCATAAAAATGTGCAATCAGCAGCCCTCAGGGCTCTGTCTGTGGAGTAGCCACTCTTTTATTTCTTTACTTTCTTAATAAACTTGCTTTCATTTTGCACTGCGGATTCGCCCTGAATTCTTTCTTGAGAGATCCAAGAACCCTCTTTTGGGGTGTGGATCAGAACCTCTTTCCTGTAACATATTTCTGTCTGTAGCACTCCTAGCAGTTGTGTTGTGTCTTCTTTATCATATGAATCCACTTCATCAAGAACTATCAGATTAGAACAGGAAGTCTACTCCTTTTACAGGAAAGGGAACTGTGACTCAGAAATAGGAAGAAACTTGCCCAGGGCCACACAACTATTTCCTGTTAGATAAAAAAACTAGATCCCAGTTCTCAAACTCCCAGCTTAGGCTTCTCTCCCTGTACCTCCAGAGACAGTATCAGCCTTCACACGGGATGGTAAAACTGCACGGTAGCATAATTTCTGAGGCATGACATAAAACTGCCAGACACTACATTCAATATTTACACAGATTACTCTACCTATGAAAGAGTATTTTAATCCCCATTTTTACTTATTTATTTATTTTGGGGTTTTTTGTTATTGTTGCTTTTTGTTTTATTTTGAGACAGAGTCTTGCTCTGTTGCCCAGGCTGGAGTGCAATTATGCAATCACAGCTCACCACAGTTTCAGTCTCCATGGCTCAAGCGACCTTCCAACCTCAACCTCCCAAGTAGCAGGAACAACAGGTACACACCACCATGCCCAGTTAATTTTTTTTTTTTTTTCATATCTCTATGTTGGCCAGACTGGTCCCCAACTCCTTGGCAAGCAATCCTCTGGCCTTGGCCTCCTAAAGTGATGGGATTACAGGTGCGTGCCACCACGCCCAGACTATAATCCCCATTTTAGATTACAGATGTAATGCCTCCATTAGTTTTATCTGATTTCAAACTTCACCATAATCTTGCTGTCTCTATGGGAGGACTAGAAAGATCTCTTCCCAGTTCCCAAAATACTCCCTTCAAAGGCTGGCTAGGGTGGTACAAGTCCTTCAAAGATCACTGGAGTGAAGTTCCTAAACCCTGGCTGAATGTAGACATTCCCATAGGAAAGAGCATACTGTTGGCCCGTGACCTGCCATTAATCCCTCCGAATGCATTACTTGTTAGATGCTGGCTCTAGCCTAGGAAACAGAGGACACATTTAGGAGCTTAATGTGAGATACCAGTGAGTTTTAACAGGAGGAAAAGAAAGAAGACTTGGTTTTTAATCTGTGCCAGTATGAAGACCATTTGTAAAAGTCAAGCTTCTTCCTGCCCCCTCCATGGTATTTGTATATGATACCTCTGTATTCTATTAATTGGTAAAATACATACATAGGATTTACTAATTTCTGAATTAGAGGCATTTTCAACTGAATTTTCATTTTAGTAAACAACAGAATCATTTGAAAACCTGTAGTATTGAGTGCACTGTACATGGAAGGGTGTTCGTCTGTAGATGACTCTACAAACCCCTTCCTTGAAATCCCAAGATTTCAGGGTCCACAGGTTAAGAAACCCCTGGCTAGAACATGGGACACTGCCCCCAGATGAGCAGGCCTGGTGCATGTCTCATAGCAGGCTTCCTGAAGGAACCTGGTGGCAAAGAATGAGGAAGTGGAAGCCCATCAACCACACTTCACATCCTTCACAATTGTGCCTAAGCCCCACAGCCCTCTTTCCAATGGGTAACATAAAAATTAACGATTATAAATTTACACTGACATTTGGGCAGGGAAACTATGAACACTGTCACTTACTATAGAAGGGAATAATAAATGTGAGAGAAGAGGAAGACAGTGTCACAGAAAAAATTCAATTCATATTGATGCCAAATAAAAGGGTAAAATCATCTCAAAAAAATTGCAAGGTTATTCTTTAATGAAGCTTCAGTGTCTGGAATGATCTGTATTGAATGAAAAGGACAGCAGGTAACAGAAAAAGGAGCAAACACCTATGCTAGTGTGACAAATATGTGGTCACAATTTAAGACCCTACCTTAAAATTTCTCACCAAAAGAAGACTCATTTACACATCATCACTACTAAGAGGATCTTATAAATCCATGATACACATATACTGAAAGTCATACTTAGATTCTTTAAAAGTAAAACTAGGGCCAGGAATGGTGGCTCACACCTGTAATCCCACCACTTTGGGAGGCCAAGGCAGGCAGATTGCTTGAGCTCAAGAGTTTGAGACCAGCCTGGACAACATGGCAAAACTCCATCTCTACTAAAACAAAAATTTAAAAATTAGCAGGTGTGTTGGCATATGCCTGTAGTTCTAGCTAATCAGGAGACTAAGAATGGGAGGATATCTGCAGCCCAGGAGGCGGAGGTTGCAGTGACTCAAGATGGTACCACTGCACTCCAGCCTGATTCTGTCTCAAAAAAAAATGTAAAAATAGAAGGAAAAAAATAAAATCAACAAACTTAAAATATGTGCAGCACTTGTTACAAATCAATTAAAAGCACTGAAATTTAAGGAAATGAATTAGCCCCCTACCTTTCCAGCTTATCTTCTATTACCCGTTCTTACCAGTCTCACCACACTACTCAACATGCCCTGAACAAGTATTGCACCTTTATATCCACATCACTGGGTATCAGGTGTGCAATAACCTGAGTGATGCTGCCACATTCATTCATACACCCAAGTGCACATTCATGCACACACACACAAACACAACAAAGTTCTACTCAACGCCCAAAAGCAGAACCAATCTCCCCTCCCCTACACCTCTGGTGTATTCTTCAACTTACATAACACAGACTTGCATGACAGCATTTGCCATGGGGATCGCTGCCGCCACATCATCACCATATCTCATTCATCCCTCCACTCATAACACCAATCACATTGCTTAGCACAAAACATATAATAAAAGCATGTTGCAGAAACAAAGGAATGAATATAGGTAATCAGGAAGTAAAGCTTCTGATAGTGATTGTGTGAGGATTACCTGATCAAAAACTGTCATAATTCTCAGCATTAAATTACTGGGGGACATGGTTTGGCTGTGTCCCCAGCCAAATCTCATCTTGAATTCCCACGTGTTACAGGAGGGACCCAGTGGGAGGTAAGTGAATCATGGGGGCAGGTCTTTCCTGTGCTGTTCTCATGATAGTGAATGAGTCTCATGAGATCCGACGGTTTTAAAAATGGGAGTCTCCCAGCACAAGCTCTCTTCTCTTGTCTGCTGCCATGTGAAATGTGCCTTTCACCTTCTGCCATGATTGTGAGGCCTCCCCAGCCACATGGAACTGTAAATCCAATAAACCTCTTTCTTTTGTAAACTGCCCAGTCTTGGGTTTGTCTTATCAGTGTGTGAAAACCAACTAATACAATGGGCAAAACCTATTTTATTCTAACCCTGAACTAACTAGTCATCCTCCCCTCCCCGGGTAACTGACATTACATAAGTTCTCTAATAAGATGAAAAATAAAGTCTTGTGGTGGCGCATGCCTGTAATCCCTGCTAGTTAGGTGGCTGAGGCATGAAAATCACCTGAACCTGGGAGGTGGAGGTTGCAGTGAGCCAAGATCTCGCCACTGCACTCAACCCTAGGTGATAGAGCAAGACCCTAGCTCAAAAAAAAAAAAAAGAAAAGTCTGTTTTTCCATCAAAAGGCTTGAATTAGACACAGGGGTTCCAAATAGGAGGGAATCCCTGCACCGTTCAAAAGAGGTTCCCTGAAAACTGAACACTTGGTGGAGAAAGCTCCAACCAGGCCCTCTGCCATTGTGTCCTCCAACTTTCCATTCTCACCAATAATCAAGACAGACAAGGTGCACTCACCTGGCTTGTTTCCTTCCCTCTCATGGCCCAGCTGCCCCTTGGTGTTCAAACCACACGTGTAAACTTCCCCATCTTCCAGCAGGAACACAGAGTGGTTTCCCCCACAGGCCACCTCCTTGACACTTCTGTCAGATATGAACCCACACACCTGGGGCTCAGCCACAATTCCCTGCAGGTTGGTGCTGATACCAGGTTGGCCCAGAGACCAATATCCCCAACATAACATTGTTCTTATCTTTCAGGGAATCATGTAGCCTAGGAGAGAGTTAAAAAAAAAAAAAATTATTTTTAATTAAAAAGAAATAGGTCATAGAAAATCAAGTAATGAATGTAACCAATTTAAAAAATAACTCTCCCCTTAATATTCTTCAGATATCTTACATCTCAAAATAAAACATATTAATACTGTTGAAAGCAGTTATGTTAAAATGATGCTACTTTATATTTTAATAAGAGTTTAAAAAACAGTTTAAATAAATTGTGTTTGTTTAAATGAACGAGTGAACAGACAGAATATGGTTTTCAGATCACTGCTAAAGAATTCTGAGTACAGGAGATGAGCTGAAACAATCTTGGCAAACCATTAAGTTAGTAACAGTTTTGAAAACACTCTCAAGACTTCACCTTATCCTTTCTCAATGCATCATTCCTTTGACTTTTCTGCTTATTTTAATGTTTTAAAAAATTTTGAACCAATTAACTCCTTTACGTACCCTAATATTAGATTGGTTAGTAGGATTTCACCACCTGAAGTGAAGATGAAAAATGGAAAAAAAAAAGAAATGTTATCTTTTCTGCCATTCCCTTTTACCCTTGGTTCCAGATCTGAGTCAAGCCTCACTTCCTACCTGAGAGACTCTGGGATTGTTAGTGACAGTCAGCCTGTATCCCTCTGACATGTCTACCATACTGCCTAACTGGTAGCTTTCTCTTTATATCTTTATAACTTAACTCCCCAAAAAAGATTTTAATCTCCTTCAACAGAGACCATAGTATAATACAGACCTCTTCTATTTAGCAGGTAATCAACTTTTGCCTGATTACTGACACTAGCCTAAAGTTTCATTACCTTTTAACAATTAATGTTTCCCTTTCATACAAACAAACAAAAAAAATCTCATCTCTTGCTACCAATTCACACCACAAGGATGGCCAGGTAACAATAAGTGTTGGCAATAATGTGGGGCTGTTATAACCATCCTACACTGGCTTGTAAAAATGTCTGGCAGTTCCTGAAAAGAATAAACATAAAGATACCATATGATCCAGCAGTTTCACTCCTAGTTATAAACCCAAGAGAACTGCAAGACTACGTCCACACAAAAACTTATAAAGGAATGTCCACAACAGCATTATACACAATATCAAAAGGAAATAACCAAAATGTTCATCAACTGATGAATGGTTAAATAAAACATGGTATATCTATACAATGGGATATTATTTGGCTGCAATATGGATGAACAGTGAATATATTATGCTAAGAAAAAGAAGCAAGTCACAAAAGTCCACAAATTATAAGATTCTGTTTACATGAAATGTATAGAACAGGCAATAGAAAATAGACTAGAAAATAGACTAGTGTCTGCCTAGGACTGGAGGGAAAGAGGAGAATTGAGAGTGACTGTACCTGTCCTTTTGGAAGGTGGCAAAATGTTCTAAATTTAGGTTGTGGTGATGGTTTTAAAGCATGGTAAATATACTAAAAACCCCTAAATGTTATATTTTAAATATGTAAATTTTAGGCTGGGCGTGGTGGCTCATGCCTGTAATCCCAGCACTTTGGGAGGCCAAGACGGGCGGATGACCTGAGGTCAGGAGTTCCAGACCAACCTGACCAACATGGAGAGACCCTGTTTCTACTAAAAATACAAAATACAAAATCAGCCAGGCATGGTGGCACATGCCTGTAATCCCAGCTACTCAGGAGGCTGAGGCAGGAGAATTGCTTGAACCCGGGAGGCAGAGGTTGCAGTGAGCTGGGGTCGCACCACTGCACTCCAGCCTGGGCAACAAGAGCAAAATTCCGTCTCAAAAAAAAAAAAGTAAATTTTACGGTAGGTAAAATTATATCTCAATAAAGATTTTTTAATTGTCTTTAAACCTCCTTTCTCTTGCTACATGTCTACTGCCTCTGCGGGTCCACATCAGCCGATAAGGCTTTCTTGAGTTTAATTGTGAGAATTGTTATTACCAACATAATAGCCAAAAAAGTATTTTTCTACAACAGAAAGGAGGAGGGAACAACCCCTAGAGTTTAATATGGGAGAGGTATCAATTATTCAATATTTTATTTTGCTTACAAAGACATAAGAGGGGAAGTTTTATCTAATGCTTTGATCAGAAATGAAATATTGTAACTCCAAAAGTTCTGACTACTGGTAAGTTGGAAATCTTAAGTGGATGGATCTTCTGTTTAGGAAAATACCTCATGCACCTCTCTGATTTTGAAAGAAACGTCCAAGATTTAGAGACAAAAGGAGATGGGGGAATTCCCAAGCATGCCTTATAAAATAGTAGATGCTCCTATTTAAGATATCAAATTAAGAGTGTGCGATTGGCTGGTCATGGTGGCTCACGCCTGTAATCCCAACACTTTGGGAGGCCAAGGCAGATGGATCACCTGAGGTCAGGAGTTCAAGATCAGCCTGGCCAACATGGTGAAACCCCATCTTTACTAAAAATACAAAAATTAGTCAGGCGTGGTGGCAGGCACCTATAATCCCAGCTACTCAGAAGGCTGAAGCACGAGAATCGCTTGAACCCACGAGGGAGAGGTTGTAGTGAGCCAAGATGGCGCCATTGCACTCCAGCCTGGGCAACAAGAGTGAAACTCCACCTCAAAAAAAAAAAAAAAAAAAAGACAAAGAAAAAAGAGAAAGCGATTGAAGCCTGTAATATTGCTGCAAGTCTGGAACCTGGCCAGTAAACAGTAGATTCTCGGTGGCAGAGAACAGCAGATGGATTCTGAGAACAGTGGTGTCTAACACTCAGTTTGAAGTTGTTGCCTGTTCTGTAACTACTTTTGAGAATCCCAAACCTTCTATCAAAGTTAAGACACAACAGCCTTACAATAACTGTATTTTGCCAAGCATGAATAAAAAGAACCTTGAAAATAAGCCCCCAGTACCCCTCCGGAGGACTGACAACTAAGCAAGAGTTTTGGATGAGCCACAAGAGAACCTAAATGCTCTTCTTCTCCTTGGAAATTCTTAGAAATTTGAGGAAGACAATAAATCTCTAATCAGTATCACCTTGGGCTTGAATCACTTTATCTGGATATTAAAGAAAATAGTGACCAGGCACAGGGGCTCACGTCTGTGATCCCAACACTTTGGGAGGCCAAGGTGAGAGGACAGCTTAAGCCAGGAGTTTGAGACCAGCCTGGGCAACATAGTGAGACCTTATCTCTACCAAAAAATAAATAAAATCAGCCAAGTATGGTAGCACACACCTGTAGTCCCAGCTACCTGGGGGGCTGGGGTGAGAGGATGTTCAAGCCTAGGAGGTCAAGGCTTCAGTGAGCCGTGATTGCACCACCGCACTCCAGCCTGAGCAATAGAGCGAGACCCATCTTAAAAACAAACAAGTAATGCAAAAGATTGGTCTTAAGGACATTCAGATTACATTTCAGTTTCCAAATATACTGGGTTTTTTTATTTTTTATTTTTTTTGAGACCAAGTCTCGCTCTGTCTCCCAGGCTAGAGTGCAGTGGCACAATCTCAGCTCACTGCAATCTCCGCCTCACAGATTCAAGCAATTCTCCTGCCTCAGCCTCTGAATTAGCTGGGATTACAGGCATGTGCCACCACACCCAGCTATTTTTTTGGCATTTTAGTAGAGACAGGGTTTTGCCATATTGGCCAGGCTGGTCTTGAACTCCTGACCTCAAGTAATCAGCCCACCTTGGCCTCCCAAAGTGCTGGGATTACAGGTGTAAGCCACCGAGCCCAGCTGGTTTCCAAATATACATTTTAATTATAATTCTGAATATTCTTTTCTAATCATACTTCTTAAACATGCTACTCTCTCTATATTGAGAATTACTGTTCTAGGTCCTACAGGTCAAAATATCAGGATTTCAAAACAAGATTGCAGACTTCAAAGGTGTCTTGCCTAATCTTTTCACTGGTACATTCATTTCATTGTAATGAAAAGGGGATGGATTCTAATGGAAATAGTGAAGACTTACTTTGAATTATAATACTAGGAGAACACATCAAAGCTGCATGTATAAGACAATCTACAGGAGAGAACTGTCAACATATGAAGGAGACAGCTAATTGGCTATTCTGTGCAAAAAGTCAGCTTTTAAAATGACAAACTCCTTTCTCCCAAGGTAAAAGCATGCCCAAATGGTTACAAATTAAAGATTACAACACAGAGGAAGCTCATACTTTCAACCTCTCTTGACAACAATTACAGTACTTTGGCTTTAACTCAATGACCTTAATTTGTATATAACAATTTTAAAACTGCCTTATTGTAATCCTGAGGTATGCTTTGAACTCTTGAGGCTTTCAGGAAAGGCATGAAAAGGCCCAAAATAAAATATGAAACTGAATCTCAATTTGCCGTCTTAACCAGAAAGTTCTCTTCTTCCCAAGATTTGTATTCCTTGTCTAGACTCTACACTAAAAATGTATTAAGATTAAATGTTATTATTTGAGTTAACTACAAATATTGTGGGGAGGGAAGTAGAAATAAAATGAAAAACTGGTAGGGTAGTGGTGGTGGTGGTTGGTGGTGGTCTAATGACACACATTTAAATAGACCAGCAAGCTCACATAATCTAGAAATAAGTTATTTTTCCCAATTTGCTCAACTGCTATTAACCACATCAATAGATTTTTTCATTTTTAGTATTTCATAAATTTATCTTACCTCTCCTACCTGTCTAGTGTTCTTAGGTTCAATAAGGTTGTGATGTGCCTTACACAGAAAAAAAAATGTGTATTAGGTAAGTTTCTTTCATGCATGAGTTATAGTGTTGGCTGTGAGTTCAATCTTAATGAATCAACAAGTGGGTACGTCCAAAAATGGAACAGGAAATCTGCGGATCTGTATGTGAGGCCTCCCCTGGAGACAGCTAAAGTAATATCCAGAGTGCATAATGAAGCTATAGATACGATGGAAAAGCAAGTAAATCTGTGGATTCATGAGAAGACAACCAATAAAAAACAAAAATCACAGTAGATAGCACTGATGTGAGGCTGAAAGCCAAAAACACTGTCACATTACACAGAGTCAAGAAAATGTTAAACCTTTCTCAACTAGTGTTTTATTACCAAGAAATACTGTGTATAATTATTAGTAAGAAATATATATTAAATAGGCTGTCTAGACAGAAACACACATAAAATAAGGCTATGCGTCAGTTGGCTGATAAAAATCTCTTGACCAGAGCCTGCAGGAACCTAACCCTGTATTTCCTCAGAAACAATGGCTCTGTATTCACTAATATGGTATTCACCATGACTTTACAGAACCTAACTATATATAGAGTATAACAAGTCCCTTCTTTGTTTACTTAAGCTTATTTATTTATGCTTGTTTGAATCAGGTTTCTTTCACTTGCAATAGAAAGAAACTCCTGACTGATAATATTAATAATGACATTATTAATAATAACAGCAGATAAGACCTAATTTGAGCTTACTCTGGATCTGGTACTTTTCTATATGCTTCACAGATGTTAGCTCATTTCTTCTTCTATGAGACAGGCACTGCCATTATCTCTAATCTACAGATGAAGAAAGTGAGACAAAAAAAAGATGAAGTAAAGGAAAAGAAAGAGACACTATGCTATTCTGTAGAGTAAGGAGCTTAAAAAGTAGATAACCAAAAGGCCAGACTTCGCAATGTGTCTGCACCACTCTCCAGAGAAACAGGGACCCTGATCAGCCAACCTGGCTATGTGATCCAGTAAGTAATTATTTCCTAAAAGTGGATGGGTGGATCAGATTCCATAACAGTTGTCGTTAAATTCACCCAACCAATTGCCTTGCTTAGCAAGCAACCCTAAATAACTTGGTTTATAGGGCAGATTCTACTACAGGGATAGAATACTGTGACCAGGTAACCAAAGCATCTCAGTCTTACTAGGATTTTTAATTCTCATTATTAATTTGGTGTCCTGGGTCTATCAGCTTTTTGTAGTTAATCTGGCATGAGTCAGTTCTTGAGAGTCATCTGAGTTCCGGGTGCGTTGGCCAAGCACAATCCTGTGTAAACAGCCTGAAGTATGGCCTCATCCCTGACTGCCTAGTAAAAACAATTTATGAAAAAAGATAATAAAAAGGACTACTGTTGAAAACTTCAAAAATTCTTCCCAACTGAGTTACAGTAATGGAATCTTCAATTTGTCAAATGAAAACTGCCTACCAAGAGAATTAAACAGAAACCACAAATAAGATGTATACCTGTGAATAAACTATCAATCATAATTATAAATATGGTCTGGGTCATCACAATGCTCTGCTGGAACTAAAGAAGAAGGCAACTAAAACCATCTAACTTTCAGGAGAGAAGTTCAATGCATTGGAGAGAAGCCAGCCACCAGTACAGCTTTCACTTCAAAGTACACTCCAGTTGGACCCCTAAATCTTGTAGCTGATGTTCATGACTTTAAAGGTCTAGTTTCAGCAACAGTCTACATCGCTAGGCATTTTGATCTCCAAGGTCCTTACACCCATTTTTCCTCATTCACTCTGTTGCTTGCTCCTGGAAGAGCAGAATCTTTTATTTTCCTTCAAAATACATAATTATGAAATTCGCTGCAAAATATAGGACTACACTTCCCTCGGCACCTACACCAGCCCCACTTGGCTGCATTTCCTGCCTCTTATTTCCCCATGACAAAACATAAGGACCACTTTTGAAGGACAACTTTCTCTCAATGTCAACCTGGTACTTTCCTGAGACCTTCTCATCTATTCTTGGTAAGAGATTCAAGATAATCTTAGCAGAGCTTAACAGTCAAAAGAACTAAAATCCAAGCCCTACATTAACCACATGTTAGCTGTGAAACCTGGGGAAAGATGTTTACCCACCTTAAGCTCCAAAATCAGGAGGTGGTGCTAGAGTGCTATGAGGATTAATGAGAAAATGCATGTAAAAAGGGCTTAGCATAGTGCCTGGCATGTAGTAATAAGTGACCAGTAAATGTCAGCTGCTTTAAGCAATATTACTCCTACTCCTAGTGCTTTTCTTTGAGACCTCAGCAGACAGGACAATTCCCAAGAGGCTGGGGTTATGACTCCTGTCTTCCTCACTGCAATTAGCACTAGCTGCATTCTGCCAAATCTGCACTACAGCAAAGCAGCACCACCACCATCTGCCATAACTTTCATGAAAGGGATTTGAGGTTGATAGGAGGAAGTTTTTTTGTGTGCATTTGCTTTTAAATTCTGGAGAAGGCATGAGTGGAGGGCAGAGGGGAGATAAAACTCTTTTAACTAGCTCTAGTGAGTTCAATGCTAAAAGACAACCTCCAATTCCTAAACTTTGTCTTATAATAAGACTGTGCGACTATGCACACAGCAGCCTAACAACTCATTCTTATTCCTTTGTTTGAAAGGCACTGAGACCTAAATAACACTCAGGCAGGACTTCTAATCTCATTTAAAATAGGGATAAGCTTCCTTTCAAGTAAGCTTAGAAGCAATTACCTGAATGTTGTATATATGTAGAGGGTCTCTTTCAACAGCAGGAAAAGACAATGTCCAAAATCTTCAGTGCTTGGCAGATACCCCCCAAATTCAGGCTTTAAATAAATTTAGGGCCAAAATTAAAATGCAGAATTAACTCTGGTAACAAAGAAGATTCATTTTAATGACTTGCCTTATTATCAAAAATGTTCCTACCAAAGGGAGAAATGGCATAGAAGGCAAAGAGAAGTTTTCAACAACATGAATCCACTCCTTGCTGTTTTCTCTCTCCTCCACTTTAGCTGGACTTTGGTCCTCTGACCCCTTCAGCCAACACAGGAAACATTCCTACCCTTCCCCCGATCATCTCCTCAAAGGTGGTGCCTTCTTCACTACCTGGTGCTAGGCTTTGTGAAGCTGGAAGAATGACTTCTCTGCTGTCTGCTTAAGCTGTGGGCTGCCTTCAAAAGACACCAACCAGACTCGCAAGAATTGAAAACTCTAACAATACTAAGTCAAGGATATACAACAGCCAGGGCCCTCATAGACAGCTGGTGGGAATATAAACTGGCATAACCACTTGGCAAAACAAGTTGGCATTCTCTAGTGAAGAGGAAGATGTGGATACCTCCCCACACAGTAATTTCACTCCTGGGCATATGACCAGCATTGTCCAACTTATTAAGCATCTATGGTGCTCCTGTATTGTACTAATAAATGGAGATACAAAGATGAGTCAAATCTGGAAACTTAGAACTTTCTGCGATAACGGAAATGCTATATAATTGCACTGTCCACTATGGTAGCCAGTAGGTATCTGTGGCTATTGAGTACTTGAAATGTGACTAATACAAGTGAATAACTGAAATTTTAATATTTTATTTTAATAAATTTTAATGTTAGTAGCCCTAAATGACTGTGACTATCTTACAGTCCAATGCAGTGAGAAACTCATGAACATATGCACCAAGATATATGTATAAGAATGTTCATTCCAGCATTATTTGAAATAGGAAAAAAGCAAAAAACAAATATCCATCAACAGATAACAGAAAACAGATACAGTGTGGCACATGCATAAAATAGAACACTGTAGAGAAGTAAAAAATAAACTCCATCTATAAGCATCATTGTAACTAAATCTTAAGAAGTGTTGAGTCACAGAAGAATTCAGAGTATGATGCATTTTTACAAAGTTCAAACACAACTATAACAAATATATTATTTGGAGATTAAGAATCATCGGTGGTAACAAAGCTATGAAGAAAAGCCAATCACAAACACAAAATACAGGGTAATGATTGTGGAGGCAGTAGGAATAGAGGGAACAATCTGGAAGGAGCACAAAGGGAGACATTTCAATAGCATGGCTGATGTTCTGCTTCTGTCCTTTTATTGTTGTTTCTTAACATATATGGCATGCATTATTTTATGCTTACAAACACTTCACAAAAGAAAAAAAAAATGGAAAGCGCTATTGAGGCAGTCTGGCTACTTCTCATACCTCCTCCACTAACACCCTGTCCATGTGCAGACTGGGAGTTTCTCCATGAAGGAATCAGGTTTTACTCATCTTTGTGCCTCCCATTCTCAGCAGAGTATAGGAGCACAGTAGAGGCTTGATAAATGTCTAGTGAACTGAACCCCATTCTTAGAAAACTGGAATTTCCACCATCTCAACTTGTTACCCCTTTTATTTTCCAGATAATGTTAAAGGTTCCCCACTCTGAGTAATAATAAAAACAGTTCACTTACACAGAAACACATGTCTCTGCTACCCACAAGTACTATTTCTAAATGGAGTAAATGTCTAAAGAGGACAGAGTTGTATTAGCAAATTTACCATCTTATTAAAAGTCCATTTGGTCTAACCTCTAAGCAAGAGACTTACATTCCTAAATTCATTTTAATGGCAGCTAAGGCCTTCAGAGACCAAGTAACTTTGGTCCTCTAAGAATTAAGTGCTTGAAGCAGAGACCAGACACCAGATATCCTACTTCTTGGGCTCACCTTGTTCTCTTCACTATGTTAGAGCAAGCAGGAAGGCACTGAGATTTGCTTAGGCCTCTCTCTAGGTAGCTATCTTAGCCTGAGTTGATGACAGTATTAAACAGGATAATGTATGTAAAGGACTCCAGTAACAAGATGAAAAAACTGAGGTCCAGAAAAATTAAGTAACTCACCACAGGTCACACACTTGGCATTGGACTAGAAGCCAGAAATATTCCACACCCTGCGGTTCTGCAAGTTAAAGAAATAATAAATAACATTAGTATGGAACTCGGTTAAGTGTCTTCATGTTATTGTAAACAAAAAGACAGGAGTTAACCTCTGAAAATAAGTATATCTTTAAATTACTCAATCTTAAATATTCCCCATGCATTGTATCTCAAGACAGGAGTTTGGTTAAATACTAGTAAGATAACCTCTAACCAGTTATAAAGATATCAATCACCTCTAAAAGTGAACTAGAGATAGATATCACCTTCTAAAAATTCCTGACATTTGATAGGGAGTAGTAAAAATAGAATTACTTTAAAATCTCTCATTTTTATTAGAGAAAGTTTTGGAAAATAATTTAATTTTGTCTATTTTCTTTATTTTTCCATGTATCACACATAGCTGCTTGTTTTGCCACAACTGTTATGAAGACTGTCTCTTTTCATTTCTTTTTTTTTTTTTGAGACAGAGTCTGGCTCTTTCACCCAGGCTGGAGTGCAGTGGCCACTCTGGGCTCACAACCTCCGCCTCTCAAGTTCAAGCAATTCTCCTGCCTCAGCCTCTCAAGTAGCTGGAATTACAGGCGCCTGCCACCATGCCCAGCTAATTTTTGTATTTTTAGTAGAGACGGGGTTTCACCATGTTGGTCAGGCTGGTCTCCAACTCCTGACCTCAAGTGATCCACCCGTCTCAAGCCTCCCAAAGTGCTAGGATTACAGGGGTGAGCCACTGCGCCCCGCCAGCCACTGCACCCGGTCTTTCCCTTTCATTACCACATCCTCCATCATGCAAAATGAGAAGAGATCATCTCAGAGAGGTACCTAAAGTATCTCAAAAGAAAAAGTCCTGCATGATTTTAAGATATTTTTGTCAAGCACTTTAGGAGGCCCAGGTGGGTGGACAGCCTGAGTCCAGGAGTTGGAGATTGGCCTGGGCAACATGGCAAAACCCCGTTTCATCTTTTGGCGAAATCAAAAACTACAAAAAATTAGCTGAGCGTGGTGGTGCACGCCTGTGGTCCCAGCTGCTTGGGAGGCTAAGGTGGGGGCGGGTTCGCTTGAGCCTGGGTGGCGGAGGTTGCAGTGAGTCGAGATCGTACCACTGCACTCAAGCCTGTGCAACAGAGCGAGCCTCCTATCTTGGAAAAAAAAAAAAGATATTGTCGTAACTTTATTTCTACCTCTCTATGCAGAAAATCCCATTCAATCTGGAGAATATTACTTTTATTTATAAAACTGAAGCATAACTATCTTGTGTCTCCAGTAGGGGTACTACTACTCTCATTAAGTATAAAAAAAGTTTTTAATTGGTCATGAAAATCTTAATAAATTTAAATTTGGTCCTCAGAATGAAATGCTATAATGAATGGCTTCAACCACACAATATGCAACATTCTGAAATCCCTGTTTTTTTTTCAAAAAGTAAACTCCAGCTACTGACTGAACAAGTAGAACTGGATGCTAGTGCTAATGTGCTAATTTTGTTTTTCATGCCAAAGAAGTTCTGTCAAAGAGGTTTCTAACCTGTCCTCGTTTCCTGCATTATACTTTTTACAGAAAGTTCCTAACCTTGAAGGGGGTACAACCATGATGTAGAATATGTAATTCAGCTATTTGGCTTTGGAATATGCAATGTACTTTGCTTTTCTGATTTATAAGGCTACTCCCTCCTCCCCCAGGGTAAAGTACAAAAGGAGAGAACTTCACAGTACTCTGCCGACTAAAACATGATACCCTCTCTATCACTGCATTTAAAACTCATTTTATTTTTTTATTTCTCTCAAGTCTGAAGTTGAAAAATCAGCTCACTTGATCTTATCAAATCATCAAATAAAAGGTTCTAGAAATAGCTTCCTATTTGTGGAAAGCGCCAGAAGACACATAAAAATGGAAGAGAGCTCTTGAATCGTCTTTCCCAAAGCATTCTGTGCGTGATGAATGCAAGCAAAATCCTGGAAGGCTTTTCTCTGAATTTAAGGTACTTCCTAATGGGGCTGATTTGAAAGCTAATGTAAAATGCAATCAGAAAGCAGCCAGAAACAGTGACAGACCAACAGCAAAGTTCTAATACTTATTCCCTGGAGTTCACGCTGCATACACATATTCCGTGCACAGTCGCATTAGACACTGACTCTACAGGCTCACCTGTTTCAGGTTACACATGCTCCTCTCAGTCTGGTTGTCCTGGTTTGCCCACTCCACACATTCACAAATGACTCAAGTCTCACCTGCCCCCGGCCGTCCCAGCTCCTGACACCCCCGCGCCGGTTCGCACCGACGTGTCGGCGCACACACACACACCCACCCGTACACACGTGTCCGCACACACCCTCGCCCCCGGCCCCGCCCAGGAGGCGGACCCCGGAGAGGCGAGCCGGCCCGGCCTCCGTGAAGTGGGTGGTGCCGGGCCCCGCAGCCCTGCCGGCGCTGTCAACGCGGACGCCGTGCACCGCGTCCTCAGCGCAAACTCCTCGCGGCCGCCGAGATTCCCCAAAATGCCAGGGCCTCGCCAGCTCCCATTTCAATTGAAAGCGTCCGCGCTCCTCACTGCACGGAGGTCCCTGGAACCCCAGAATTTAAATAAGGGCAGGGGTCAAGCATGGAGACTATCCTCCTTTTGACTTTCTGCGTCGCAATTCCTCCCGGCCGGCAGGGCGGCAGGGCGGCAGGGCGGCCGAGCGCGGGCGGGAGGCGCTCCCATTTTGAAGGCTTGTCTCGCCTTTCCCGGCGCGGGGCTCTCTGGCGGGAGGGCGAGCCCACTAGAACGCCAGGGAGGCGCACGCAAGGTCCTAAGGGCGCCGTGCCCCAACCTCCCCGCTCCCCAGCCCCAGGTCATCGCTGGAAGTGCCTGCAGCCGCTGCCGCCGGAGCCACGGGAGGAGCCGCAGCCGCCCCTCTGGGAGCCGCGCGCTGACGGCAGTGCCAGGCGGAACGCGGCCCCGCGCGACTGCAGCTCCGCCGTACCCTCCTCCCTGGAACCCCGGCCCCCGCCCTGCGCACCTCGGCAGCAGCCGAACCGCAGCTTGGGACTCCGACTGTCACAGCCCCTCTCGCCCGGCTCGGGGTTTCTCCGATTTCGGCGTCACAATAATAAGGAAGTTTCCCCGCAAGCCTGCGGGCGGCGGAATGCGCTAGGTGAATGACTTCGTACCAGGCCAATGGGCGCCGCCCTGGGGAAGACCCGCACCAATGGCGGCCGCCGTGGCGCGGGCTGGAGGCGGGGCGGCGAGGTCCGAGGGCGGGAGGAGGGGAGAGGCCCAGGCCCCAGAGCCAGGCGCAGGCGGCCCGAGGTGACAGGACTCTAGGGCCCGGCGCGGGGACAGCGGCACGGGTGTGTCAGCCGAGATCGGACTGCATGACATAGAGCGTTGGCGCTGAAAAAGATTGCTTTTCACTGGCGGGGAAGCGAATGGGACCGATCAGCGGTTGCCTTTTCAGGTTCTGGGCTCTGGTTTTTATTATTTATGCAGAGATAACCGAAAGCCTTGGGCAGTGGGGGGAAGAAAGCTAGAGGGTGACAATTGAGGGAGAGTGCGCTAGTCTTCTGCTTTACTCCCCTTCGTAGGACTGTAGGAAGCGCGGCGCCGGCCGGCGGCGCTGCGCGGTGGGAGAGGCGGGGAAGGAGGTCCGCGGCAGCCGCCGGCGCCCTTCTGAAGAGGTGGGGATCGAAGACCGGCGCGGGGCTGCGGAAGAAAGGCGGGCTTGGGGGAGGCTGGAGGGTGGACGCGGGGGGAGCATAGCAAGAAGAATCTCTGGGCACCAGTTCTTAAAATCTTGTAGTCTGAAAGACACCGATACCCAGTAACGGATTTTTTTAAAGTTTGTCGTCTTCCACTTTTCCCTAGCGCGCCGAATCCCAGAGCTTCCTCCTCCTCAAGGTCACTAGTGTTTTTATACTTGCCCTAGACCTGATCTGATCCACAGCTAATCTTTTGCAGAAAACCTCAGAAAGGTGACTTCATGTGTCTGCCCCCCTTAAATGTGAAATGCAGAACACTGGCACAGTACCGCTTGAATCCAAAGGAATAACTCTCTTAGTGGAAGAATTTCCATAACCTGGCATTTGAACCAGGAAGGCCTTTTGAGGATAGATTATTTCCAAGGACATTCAAATCACCTCAGGTCTGCAATCCCTTGTCCTGAGAACCTAACAGACCAAGTAGAAAAGAAAGTTTCAAGGAGTGGTATATCCTGGGGATGAGACGTTGTTGGCTGACTGACAGTGTTGAGCCCTCTGTGAAATAATGGAAATTGTCCAGTACACTGAGACAAGAAAGCTAGAAAAGCAGAACCTAAGTTATCACGTCATCTAAGAAAAAATACAAACCTTTGAAATTTGGATCACACTGGACACCTTTAGAAACACTGGGGATAGCCAGGCATGGTGGCTCACGCTTGTAATCTCAGCACTTTGGGAGGCCAAAGCAGGTGGATCACTTGAGGTCAGGAGTTCGAGACCAGCCTGGCCAACATGGTGAAACCTTGTCTCTACCAAAAAAAAATACCAAAATTAGCCGGGCATGGTGGTGTGCGCCCGTAGTCCCAGCTACTCGGGAGGCTAAGGCAGGAGAATCGCTGGAACCTGGAAGGCAGAGGTTGCAGTAAACTGAAATTGAGCTACTGTACTTACTCCAACCTGGGCGACAGAGTGAAACCTTGTCTCAAAAAGAAAAAAGAAACACTGGGGACAAGAGTAACACAATTCACCTATATTCCAGATACGTGGCAGTTTCACAAAAGTTTAGTCTATTACAAAGATGCAATCCGAATTTAGAGATGCTGTTGGCAAAAAACTGGTGAAATGCCCAAAGAGGAGTCTGGTAGGAAGAGGAAGGAGTCCGGTACTTGCAAAGGAGAAAGTGAGAGATCCTATTGTTATGTGTCACATATGAGGTTTGTAATCAATCAGTGTTTGGGTTGGTATGTCTGGCCCGTGGCTCAAGTGTTTTTCTTTTTCTTTTCTTTTTTTTTTTTTTTTTTTTTTTTTTCTTTTGTTACGGAGTCTTGCACTGTCTTCTGGGATGGAGTGCAATGGCGCAATCTCTGCTCACTGCAACATCCACCTTTTGGGCTTAAGCAATTCTCCTGCCTCAGCCTCCCGAGTATGGGATTACAGGCACCCACCACCACACCCAGCTCGTTTTTGTATTTTTAATAGAGGCAGGATTTCACCATTGTTGGCCAGGCCGGTTTACTCCTGACCTCAAATGATCCGCCCACCTCGGCCTCCCAAAGTGCTGGGATTACAGGCGTGTGCCACCGCGCTGGCCGGGTCAAGTGTGTTTCATATGAAATTTCATCTTGAGGAAAAGGTTGGTTATCAAGGACTCAAGCCTAGACCACGGGGTAGGAGCGATGTATAAATAACAAGTTAGGATACTGTAAGCTGCTTTTACCAAATAAATAGCCAAACCCTGGGAACTTACATAGAACTTACATAGAACAGTAAAGATACCGCAGTACTTCAATTTATTTTTTTTTCATTGGGCCAATGTATAATGGCAATTTCCTTAGCAAATATGTCCCGCTTCAAAATGGCTTTAAATGGCTCCAGTATCAACAATAGCCTTAACAGCAGATATGTAAACTTTTGAAGAGGTCATGGTTTGCTTTTTCTTTCCATTTCTATAGCCCTGTCTTCCATCCATTTCGTTCTGCATTCTCATATATTCTCTAACAAACATACTATATACTGAGCACCTACAATAATGTCAGCTCCCGTGAATACATTGGTAAGCAAAACAGTACAGTGTTTGTTGCCATGAAAGGGGAGACAAACATTAACCAAATAATTGTACCAAGGAATGTATACTTGCTAACCTATATAAATTTTTTAAAAGAAAAACATTCATGTTAAAAATAAAAGACTTAATAAATTCTAGGCTCATGTCTGTAATCCCAGAGCTTTGGGTTACAGGCTGAGGCAAGAGGATCGCTTGAGGCCAGGAGTTTGAGACCAGACTGGGCAACATAGTGAGACCCTGTCTTTCCAAAAAACAAAAAAATAGACATGGTGGGGCATGCCTGTAGTCCTAGCTACTTGGGAGGCTGAGGTGAGAGAATAGCTTAAGCATAGGAATTTGAGGTTACATTGAACTTTGATGGCACCATTGGACTCCAGCCTGGATAACAGAGGAGACTCCAAATACACACAAACACACACATGCACACACAGACACACACATAAACATATAACCATAACTTTAGAGACAGGGTCTGTGTTGCCCAGGCTGGCCTCAGACTCCTAGACTCAAGCAATCCTGCTGCCTTAGCCTCCCGAGGAGCAAGGATTAAACTAACTATAACTTTTGACAGGGACCATGTGGTTCAGCTCTGTCACTGGTTAGACGAGGTATGCCTGGTGGCAAGGGGATAGTGCCCAGGGTTGCTGTACTTCTACCTGAACATATGCTGATTTCCTCCATTAGTTACCATTCACTTCTTAAAATACTTATGTCTATTTTGAAAGGAAACAGTTTTTCAGTAGAATGGCAATACTCTTTAATGATAATTGTTTTCCTTTCTTCCCTGTGTTTAATTTACTTGCCTTGCAGAAAAATATTTACTTGGTAAACTTTGAAAGAGACAGTCAGATTTCTGATATCTTGGATGAAATCTGTGGAAAAAAACAGGACATCCTATCTCTCAGATACACCATCGAAGAATAAATATCTTTAGGAGGGAAAAGCACTGACTATTTGACAAGTGAAAAGTATGTGTACCTTGTATGGTTATGTAATGACAAAGGTGTTTCTTGGTCCCCCACATCCAAAAGAAGTACTTATTTTCTCAGTGTAGTCAGTACTTAATGGAAAAATCAGTCTATATATATACCCAGACTAAACTTATTAAAAACTGTCCTATAATACACAGCATTGATTTATTAATATTAAACAACTTAGAAGAAAAACATCATGGTAAATCAGTATTACCATCAAATAATCTTTTAATATTACTCAATATGTTCCACCTGTAGTACCGCTAGACAAGAAGCATCATTCCTGACTACAAAGAGCTTACAGCCATTATGATTATTTCTCTATCTTCCTTGAAACTATTCATGGTTTGCATTTTTTGCTTATCAAGCCATTTGGATGAAGCATAAGAACCTTACCTTAATTATGAGAAACTCATTGTTTTCATATAAATTAAAATGTATTGATGATAACAGGATTGCATGGTTGAACATTTTCTAAGAAAACTTTTAAGTTGAGCATTAGCTGGTCTCTGAAGATTTCATCCAATAATGCCTTTAGGAAGTGAAATATTTCATGAAGCTTCCTCTTTTTAAAAGTTCCCTTAATATGTGCTCTTAGAAATGACATCCAACATGTCACTATGACTGGACTGGCAAAATAAGTGCTGGGGCGAATGCAGCAAAGATCACGTTTGTCATCAGGTAGCTGCATAGAGTGCATGCATGTAACTGCCAAAAATCAGGCAGCTGTTTCACCCTTCTAGAGGCAAAGAAACATAGTCTTCCAAAATTTACTTGTGTAAAACCAAAATGAAATCATAAATGTGAAAAAAATCTCCTTCCTTTGAAGTTATACTATATCTGGGTCAAAGGAAATTTAAGGAATTTTATTGTTTCCTAGAAAAGCTAAAGCAAACCTGTGGAATTTCAAGAGGGCATGCCTATAACAATATTAGACAGCTTTATAGGTTGGCCATAAAAATCTGGAAACAGCAAATATACCTAATAAATGCTTTGTTGTTATTACATAATATGTTTAGTGACATTGTATGATATGTTCAGTGACATTACATGATATGTGAAATGTGTTGTCCTTGTAACAATGCTCATGTTACAAAGCATGGTGCATTGATACAACATTTTTCTCAATCCAAGCAAAATGTGTTGCCTCAGTTGATTTCTCCTTCTGATTTCTCCTGAATAAACCTATAGCTTTAGCATACCGCAGAAGAAGTAAGTAATCAGGGAGTTCAATGTGTAAAATCAATATATACTATAATATAATTTACTTAAGTCTGTAAAAAATAAAATAACATTGTCTGTGTTTCCAGACTTTATGGCTACCTTTTTATAAAGGTAAACTAGTATTTAACTTTCTATTGACCTTCAGCATTTTATTTTCAGCCTACATGTAGGTAAAACTCCAGTGAAATCTGCCATTGTATTTACTTTTAAGTTGTTGATTAACAGATTATTCTTATCACAGATACTGTAAATACTGTCATTGATTCTGTTTCCCTCTTTCTGTTGGCTCTCAAAAACCTAGTGCAAAATGTGTGGCCCATCTGTACGGAATCTTATTGCTTGCATTTTTAGAAGTAACCTCAAGATTCATTTTTAACTTTCTTATATCATTTTTCCCATTGTACTCATTTCCTTACCTACTTAAAATAAAAAGCAACTTGTTTTTCTCTTCACAAATGTAAAATATATTTGCAATATGAAATGTGTTAAATACATA